GGATTCTCATGCTTTCCCCTTATGGTTACAGAATGGCTGCCACAGATCCAGGCATCACATCATCACTCCAGCATGTCCAAAGACAGGAAGTGGGACAACAGGGCAGCAAAAATGAGCTTTCTTCAACTGTTTCTCTTCTTTCCCCCTCTTTTTTTTTTTTTCATTTTCAAAAAAATTAGGGAGGAAAATACAGAATTCCCCTAGCAGTTGCTCTCTAGTATCTCATTGGCTAGAACTGGGTCTCATGATCACACTTAAGCAGCAAAGGAGACTTGGAAAGCAGTCTGGCGTGTTCATTTTCTACAAAGGAAGGTAGGCAACGGGAATAGCTATTGGGTATCCATATCATGAAAATGAATAATTACTCTATCTTTTAGTTTCAGCTCCTGAATTCGTTTTCGAACATGGCTATCAAACTTACCTGCCCACGGAAAGTAACGAAAACCAGACAGCCACGGTCATCTCTCTCCCTGCCAAGTCACGTACCAAGAAGCCTGCGACCCCACCTGCTCAGAAAAGGCTTAACTGTTGCTATCCAGGTAGAGGCAGTATTATGTCCTACTTGTGTGGAGGGCGGGACATTTAACCCGGTTCAGGTTCCAGGGTTCTCCCTTATGAATTCCTGACAACTGGACACAGATGTGTCCCAAATTGCCTGGCATAAAAGTTAGAGCCCCACAGCATTTGCGTCAACGCATACGGCTTCTCTCTCGCTGTCCGTGGCCACTGTGCACGTGGGCTCTTAGACTTTTATGGCCACGGGCCTTTGAAATGGAATTCGGGAAAACTTCTGATTGCTGTAAATTTTTCTGCCTGTGCTATAGTTTAGGAAGACATCCAGTAAGATTTTTCTTCCCTTACTTTTCTTTTAACTTTTTATTTGGAAATAAGTTCAGACTTACAGAGAAGTTGCAAAAATTATACAAAAAATTCCTGTATACCTTTCATCTAGATGCCTCAAATGTTAGCATTTTACCATATTTGCTTCATCATTCTTTCTATATATACGTATATTTTTCCCCGAACAATTTAAGAGCAGGTTGCAGACGTGATGCCCCCTCACCCCCAAATATCTCAGTATGTATTTTCTAAAAACAAGGACACTCTTTTATATAACTACAGGATGTTCATCAAAATCAGAAAATTAACATGGATACGTACTATCACCAAATCTACTCACCTTAATCAGATTTCAGCGACTGTCCCACAAACGTCCTTTCGATCAAAAGAAAAACACTTTTCCCCCAGTCCAGGCTTCAACCTGTGCTCACTATTTGCATTTGGATTTTATTTGTCTTTAGTTTCCTTTCATCAGGAACAGTTAAGCTTTTGTCTTTCATGAGCTTGACATTTTTGAAAAGTATAGGCCAGTTATTTTGTAAAGCGGGCCTCAGTTTGGGTTTGTCTGATGTTTCCTCATTATTAGATTCAGGTTACACAGTTTGGGCAGGAACCACAGAAGTCATGTTGTGTCCCTCTTGGTGCATCATGTAAGGAGGCAGGTGAGACCTATTGGTCCCATGACTGTGGCGTTAACATTCGTCCCTTGGTTAAGGAAGTTTCTGCCAGTTTTCTCCACTATAAAGTTACAATGTTCCCCTCTGTAATTAATCTTTCCTTATTTTTCGTAGGTTGTCAGTTCAAGACTGCCTATGGCATGAAGGACATGGAGCGTCATTTAAAAATTCACACGGGTAAGTAAAATTTCTTTAGCACATGTTCCCCAAACCCCTGCCGTGTGCTAGGAGCTGGGGATCCAGGTAGTCTGACACACGCTATGACTCAAAACCTCATTGGTTGTCGCGGGAATACAGATCCAAATTAAATAAAAATGAGATGCTGTTTTTACATACGATTTTGGCAGAAAATGTTTAAAGCAATAAAATACAGTACTGGAGAGGATGTGAGCAAACTTGGCTAGTGGGAATGTGAACTGCAGCAGCCATTGTGAAAACTAACCTGCCAAGATTAATTAAAATTTGAATGTACATATTCTTCTCATGTTAAGGAGATGATCCTATTTAAGTGTGTGTGTTTGTCTGTAATGATCAGTAAGGAGAGAAATAAAGGGAAAAAATAAAAACTTTTATGTATTTTCACATTTTATCATTAGATACAGTGAATATGTATCATTTTTGTAATTTAGAAAGGAAGATTTTATAAGTATTTTTGTAAGAAAGAAAAATCA